TTAATTGAAATAATAATATTACCAAATTTAAGTTTAATACGTTTTAATCATTTTCATAGAAAGTTTCAAGTGATGAAATAACAATATTTATTAATAATTCCTTTTTAGTTGTCCAATCACCATACTAATTCAGTTAATGTTCCAAATCCAAATATAAAATTAATGAAAAAAAAACTAATTTTATTGGCCCATTTAGGACTAAAACATAGTTTTTCTTATGTTAAGTTTATTGCAATATCTAAATAAAATTTAATTATAAAAGTGAAGAAACTGTATGAAATTTATATTTGATAAAAGATTTTTCTTTCATTGATAATAATACTTTGTATATTGTAAAAATTGTCGCGATTTTACTATTAATTATGATCTTTCAACAACTAAAATTATTAGAAATTACTCAATACATTGATATTTTTACATATATCCATTTGATCAATATTTGATGACATTTTTACAAACGGCTTTTTCAAATTATGTGACTACTTTGAAGAATTTATCTTAATTATATATAATAAATATTTGTTAATCAAAATTATTCATTTTCATACTTAAATAATATAAATCTTTTAAAATATGAAAAAAAAATAGTTTTAAACTACAAAATATTATTTATATGTACTAAGATCGATAATTTCTTGTTATGAGTCATTTTTTATATCATTTTTTTTTAAATTTGTATAGTTTACAATACATTTTGTAATAATAATTTCTTAATTTATGATATTTAACCTAAAGTTTAACCTATTATTAAAAAATTGTATTAGAAATTATTAACTTAAAAACATTAAAGATTGCAAAAATATTGGTTTACTTAATTGATATTAAATTGCTTAGCTTATCTTGTATTCAAGTATGATCTAAATAATTTGTTGCATTGAATAATTATATTTTTTTTATATAATTACTTACTTGACCTTTGTAAACGGAACAAGTTAGATCCGGCATAATAAAAATCCTTCAAAAAATATTCTTATATCAAAAATATAATCTATATTAATAATTGAATGTAAGCTAAACGATTTAGTTCATGTCATTACATAAAAATCAATCAGCTCTTGGTGATCATTGAATAAATTATTACACCTTTGTCGGTCAAATGTAATGTATTTAAATCCACAATGCAGATGTTCCAGGTAAATTGGTAAATTTTCGAAACGTTTTAGTCGTTGGTAGTTAGTACTTTTGTAAAGAAACGAAGTTTAACTCGGCGTAACTTCTATTCTTACTTTGCACCTTGATTGTAAATCTTTCAAATTTATGGATAATTTAATTCCCTTTGAATTATGAATTGTTACCATTTTCTCAAATAATTTATTTCAGAATAATTTTTATTTTTTTAATTTAATTATGGTATTGACAGCATAGATCATTTATCATTTTACAATAATATATAGTAAAATGATAAATACATAAGTAAATATGTATGAAAATAAATAATTTAAATAATTGAATTGATGCGCATACAAACAAACAAAAAAGAAATATGGTTTTTTCATAAATTTGCTGGAAACATTTCATTAAATTTTATCGAAATTTGCAGATACTTTCCATTTTTTGGCTAATTCAGTAGCTTTACAAAATCTTCTTCAGTGAATGAATCTGCTTCTTCGTAATCACTGTCAAATTTTTAATAGGAAACTTATAGAATTCTTCGATTATTGTAAAAATCTATGCTTATAGAGATTAAAAACACATTTTCTTATTAATTTAATTGACATATTTTTATCTAATTTATTCTATTTATCTTTTAAAAACAAGAAAAAGCTTCACATATTTGATTGCATAATTATGCTAATTTTAATAGAAAATAAATGAACTTAGCACTTTTATTTTCTAATAACAAATTAAATCAGATATTATAAATTAATTTTCTAATTGCAATTACAGAAAAAAAACTTCCAATATTTCTATATTCAGTTAACACTTAAACTTTTATTGTTTGAAGAAATAAGAAAAAAAATATATATATAATTTATTGGATTAGATTAACGAAGTCTATATATTTGACTTTAAAAATTAAATTTCAAGAAAATTAATTAATAAAATGTTAAGTGGAAATGTAAAGTATCATAATAAGTAGATGCTTTTAGTCATTGAAGAAATAACGAGCAAAAAATCACATATTTGATTTGATTGATTAGATGTTTATGTCATCTATCCTTTTTGGCTTTCAAAACTCAATGGGAGGAAAATAATGCAAAAAAAAGATGAGGAGTTGAAAAAAAGAAGAGAATACATTTCTACGAATATTATTAAACTAAAATACGAAAATTGTTTACGATCAGCAGCATCTGAGAGATGGCAATATTTCTTCTTTTACATAACCACGATGTCTGCGTGTGCGAATGTGTCTGTATATATATTTAAGTTATCTACTTTTTTTCTCTTTTTCTGGTATTAATGTTTGTTTCGTCCTGAAGGACGCCTGTTATATCCTCGAGAGGGACGAATGATGACGGCGACTGAAGTCTTTCTCGTTTCTACCCTCTCTCCCTCTCCCATGGGATCCGCAAGGGCTGCGAATGGTCCGTGTGTAAGTGTATAGCTGTGCCGTACACATCTGTGTGAGAGAGTGTGTGCGTGAGGAGAGGAGAGAAAGGAAGGAAGGCAGGCAGAGGCAGTCGTCAGCGGCCCCCGCTTGAGAAGCCGCGACGTATACAAGTAGAAGCCGCCAATGGGAGGAGGAGTGAACCGCTTCGTCACATCTACTCCCCAGCTACTCACTTCTGCTGCCTCCAGTTGAAAGCACGACTACGCGCTATACACTTCTCTCCTTGAGCTGCAAATGTTTGTTGTTGTCAAACTTATCGTTGTCGTCTGTAGTTAACAACAATTAGTAAACAATAATTATTGATAAGTTAATCAATTCTGGAACAGTGATTAATAATTGTGCGTGTCTATTTTTTTTTTTTGTTTATAACTAAATACATTTTTTTTTGGTGAGTTTTTTTTTTGGTAAAAAAAACAAGAATTTTTTGATTTTTTTTTTGGAATAAGAGGGAAAATATAAGGGAAACATAGTTTGCGTGTTGAGAGTGTTTGGGGCGGGGGACATAGGAAAGAATCGGCGCCACCCAAGCCGTCATCCATCATGGTCGGTGACGTTCGGCCGTTTGATTCGTCGAGCCGGAGTCACGTGGTCTGTTAATTGGGTTGCCGTGGGCGGTGCCACACACCAACAGTAAACACGATCCCACCGAGAGCGAAGGAAGGAAGGTGGCTGTGGTGGGGGAGCGACGAAAAAGAAAGGGAAGCTTTACGAATAGGACCCTAGTGCGCCCACGAATCCCCCTCGTAGCGGCCCTCTCTCTCACGCATCTCTCGATCGACGTGGAGCCTCTTCTCCTGCGGGCGAAGATCCCAAAAAATTAATGATCATGAGCTCGTTTTTGATGAACCCTGTCTCTGGGGTCGCCCTGCCGTCCAGCTACCAGCAGCCGCAGCACCTCTCCGCCGGCGTCGTCGACCCGAAGTTTCCACCCAGCGAGGAGTACAGCCAGAGCAACTACATCCAAACCACCGGCGACTTCTTCGGATCGCACCACCTGAACCAACCCCAACATCATCTGCAGTATGGATATCATCACAACCATCACCAGACTGCGACGCCGTCGTACGCCCCGTCCTCAGTGCCCATCGCCAACGGCGGCTACGGTTATGGTAACTACTACCATCCGCAGATCCACCATACGGCTCCCATCCATCAAATCCGGCCGCCGATGCCGCCGATACATCCTGACGCGAACCATCAGCAGCAGCAACAACAGCAACCACCTCCGACCTCCGCGAACAGTATCTTGCAGAACCTAGCAGAAATCGCGCCCGCCGTTACCCAATCTAGTGATGTGAACTCGAGTGTGTGTAGTCCGGGATCCGGGCAGGACTCAAAGGGTTCACCCTCGGGTGGTCAGCGCACCCTGCAAGAGCTCGGTCTGCGATTAGAGGACAATGGATCCGATGAGCAGGAGGATTTGGATTACGACGGGGAAGGGTCGCCCTTAATGGACGAGGACGACGACGAGGAGGAAGGTGACAGGGTCATTTATCCTTGGATGAAGAAGATACACGTCGCAGGAGCAGGTAAGAATCGATAGAACTTTTGAGAGTGATTTCAATGCCAAAACGTAAAGAGATACAAATATCTCTCGCACTTGAGAGATAAATCGACGACCATTTGTTACGTCTTCAGCCTATTTTAATACTCACTAAACTCAGATTCACAACAATAGGGGCGGTTTTGTACACGCATTGTCCGTTTATAAACACACGCTTCGCTGTGTTTCTCTGGTTTGTTGTCCTCGGTGAGAGTTACAAATTGCTGGGCCATTTGCTAAATAAAAGGATAATAAATTGGTGGCACTCAACTACAAGGACCCGTGCAACCTCACCACCGCCATCAACTATGACTTATTACCAAACACAGAATTTTTCTTGTTCGTGTGTGGCCCACCTCGACCTTGCACAAAATAAATCATTAAACACCTTAATGAGACACACTGCATCAAAATAACCAAACAAGAAAGAAATAATAGAATTGACGATCCTTATCGACACAAACTTTTACCTAAACTATAATTATTCATTTAAGTCACGCTCACATTTCTTTCTTGTTTTTTTTTTTCGAATTACTCAATGCATAAATAATAGCAACGGAAAAAATAAATTAGCATTCATTCATACACAATTTAGAGCTCTAGAAAAGTTTAACAAATAAATTACATATAATTTATATACACTTGAAAAGTCTAAATTATCCTTGGAGATTCAAATTAGATAAAAGTCTGTTATTGATTATTAAATTAATGTTTATTAATTAGCAATACATTGTGATATTCTTTTATTTATTTCAGAGTTCAATAAAAAAAATAAAAATAAAGATATACATAATATTTACCACAAATTTAAACAATTAATAAATTTGAATTCTACTAGTAATCATTATATTCAAATCGACTATCAATATCAATCATAAAAGTAATATTTAGTGAAATTTAGTTTATGTTTTTTATTTAAAATTAACTTCAAACTTCTTTTTCTAAACGCGCAATAATTTAGCATGATTTTATAATTTTATTAATTAATGAATAAACTCAAAATATTTACAATAATATTGATTATTACAACTACTTCTATAATATTATCTTATATAAAATTCAGTATAAAATACATACGAACAATAATTCGATTTGTCCTGATTCAGTACATTCAACGTCAAAATAAATACAAAATGCAATCATTTATACAGTTGAGTCTCTTTTTGCATGGTTTATTCTTATGTTATGATTATAAAGTCCTCGATTAGTCCGGTTTCAAACAGTTCCGGATATTAGCGTAATAGATTACACGCACTATGCGAAGTATTTCTTATTATGTAATATAAATTCTAGTTGATGTAAATATCATTCATTCAGTTTTTTGTACGGTTTATTCTTATGTTATGATTATTTTCTTTTTCTTTTCCTCTCCACACTTCACTTGGCTTGCGCGTCTTGTACAATTTCGCCAGCATGTTATGATTATAAAGTCCTCGATTAGTCCGTTTTCAAACAGTTCGTTGACTATGTAATATAAATTCTAGTTGATGTGAATATGTCATGATTATAAAGTCCTCGATTAGTCCAGTTTCACACAGTTCGGGATATTGGCGGAATCGATTACACTCACTTTTCGAAGTATTTCTTATTATGTAATATAAATTATAGTTCATGTAAATATCCTTCAGACAGTTAAGTCTTTTTTTTGTACGGTTTATTCTTATGTTATGATTATAAAGTCCTCGATTAATCCGGTTTCAAACAGTTCGGGTTATTGGCGGAATCGATTACATGCACTATTCGCGGTATTGCTTATTATGTAATATAAATTCTAGTTGATGTGAATATTCTTTATACAGTTAAGCCTTTTTTTTACGGTTTATTCTTATGTTATGATTATAAAGTCCTCGATTAGTCCTTTTTCATATAGTTCGGGATATTGGCGTAATCGATTACACGTACTGCGTGAGGTATGCTTATTATTTAATATAAATTCTAGTTGATGTAAATATTTCAAAAATATGATTTATTAAATTATATTATAGACTGTTAATTATATAAAGAAAACATCAATTTCATGAATTTATGTTTCCTTTATATAAAGAAATGAACATTTGTATAGATTTACTCTTTAACTTTAATAAATAGAAAAACTATACTATATATTAATAATGTTAATTAAAATTTATTATATATTATGAAAGAGAAATAAACAAGAAATTAGTTATGAAATAATCTGATAAACTAGATTATTTGACCGAGCCTTAATGTCTATAAATATTTCATTACAAATAAACAAACGGAAAACAATAATGTTGTTAAATGTAAATAGTGAATTGAAAATATAAGAATTAAACTACAAGTTTTTCAATTAATAAAGTTGTTCAAGAATTGGAATATTCATGCTGTACAAGTTGCAAAACGCGGAAAGTGCATTTACAGTATTTATGTTTAGTCACTACAATAATAGGCTACATTATTTTTGTGGAATGATTGTAGAGAAAAGTCCGAAATTGAGAATTGCGAAACTCGCCGACATAATTGAATCTGGAAAAGTACTATCGTTTCCACAACGATTATTCTGCACTTTTCGACAGAAATATATAATAAATACAAGTCATCTTATAGATTTTGTACAGTCGGTTATAAATGTTATATTTACTACTTTTTTTTTCTTATAATCAAATATAAAACACTTTTCATTTTCAAAAAATAATCAATGTAATTTTCATAATTCATTCATTAATTAAAAATTATAAAAGGAATTATTTAACAAATCTATTCAAACTTTAAATAATTATAATGTTTGTTGCATTATAATTTTTGTTTCTTTTGACTAAGTAAAACTGTTTTTTTTTTTGGTAATATTTCATATGCAACAAAGTTTATTCATGGTTTCTATCAAATTTATTCATTAGCGATAAGTTATTTCATGAATGTGATAAAGACGTGCTTTCTCTTCAAAATAACTATAATATATTTTTATATATTTTGTACAATATAATTCAATCACCAATCCAAGAATGATCAGAAGCATACATTGCTTAACTATAAAAATATTTTAATTTGACTTCTGAATGATAAGTATGTAAATGGAGTTTCGAGAATCCCAATAACAAAAAAATAATAATTGAGAATTTTAATATTTTCGAGGTGACAGACATACATAAAAAAAAGAGAAGCGGAATTCCTTCTTCTTATTTCGTCCGCGGCTCCTGAATGGCATTAACATAAATTTGGTTTCGATTGATTTTCATGAATACGAAATTATATGTTAAAACCCATCGAAGAAGCGCTCCTATTTTATTTGTCTTCATTAAAACAGTTGACAGTGATCGTTGGTAAACAATCAAGACGCATATAATATTTCATTAATTCATCGTATCGATTAGAAAATATTCAAGAAAACATTCTCATCCATCTTAATCGTATATAAATTAACTACCGAAATATTAATAGTTATTTATTAGTAATAATATAAAACGTGTAGTAGAAACACACGGTGGTATTTCATGTGGTTTAAATTTACATTTCATAGTTAAGCAATCAATGTTAAAAATACTACTTGGATATATAATCAATATACAATTTAAGTGCTAAACACAAAGAAAAATATATAAACTAAACGTCCAAATTATCTTTTAATTAATAACGAAAAATACATTAATTATTTGGTAAAATATTTATTTTTTTACTCACAAAAGTCAATAAAATTATATACAAAAATAATGTTAAGGTATTGATTTGTATACTAGTTATTAACATATGTGTTAATTACAAATTTGGAATTTGATAAATAACAAAAATATAGAAGAAATTAAAAAATACTTACATTACGAATTATGTAGATGTAAAGGTAAATTCATATTTTTTCATAATTAGTAAATATTCGATAAATTTACTAAATAAATATAAAAAAATAGTTATAGAATATATAATAGAATATTGTTGTTTTTTTTGTTTATGATGTAGAATTAATTAATTGAATTACGTTAAATGGATTGTTCGAAAAGTGCTTCAATGAATTATCTCGTGAAACTAAATCAATAGTCGAAAACGCGTAGTCAAATTAAGATCAATTGAGATATACACAAATAGTGTCTAGTCATCATCCGGAGAGCAAGAATTTCAATTAATCGTTTACTTCTCTTATTGACACCGTTTTACTGTGAAATGGGACAATCGAAAGTGGAAAGAACGAATTCTCATTCAACAATTCTATTGATTCCTTTGATTAAATCTACGTATTATAATTAAGAAGAAAAAAAACTATAGCTATAGTAATCTATTGTTATTAAGTAATCAATGGATTTTGATTTTTTTAAAGACTTATTGCAATTATGAATTTGTCTTACATAATTATTTCTATTTTTAAATCGCAAAATTTGCAACATTTTTTTTTACAAATGTAAGAAGATATATAAAATATTATAATTATTTACAAACTAACTAACATTATGTATAACAAGTAATGAATTAAGGTATCTATACAAAATTTTAAAATTCAAACTTAATAATTACTATTGAAAATTACTTGAAATATTAAGTAAATATCAAGTAACTTGGGAAATTGAAACTTAACAATTACTTGAAGTATGAAAAGTATTTATATAGTCTAATTACATAAGTTGCAAATATAAATTATTGACAAGTAACTTGAGAAGTTTTATGCAATGCATAGAATTAATAAACATTTAAACTTAACTAGTTTATTTATATTGTCAAGTTACATAACTTGTAAATGCATATACTTTACAAGTAATTTGGGAAAACAATTACTTGAAGTATAAAAAGTACTTCGAATATCTAGTGTTTATATAGACGAATTAGATAAGTTGCCAATATGAATCATTGTAAAGTATCTTAAGAAGTTTATGCAATGCGTAGAATGAATAAATATTAGAACTTAACTAGAGTATTTATGTAGTCGACTTACATAAGTTGTAAATACATATACTTGACAAGTAACTTGGGAAGTTATCTTTATAGTGACGAAATTGAAATTTAACAAATACTTGAAGTATGAAAAGTACTTCAAATATCGAG